CTGAAAGAAATTGAAATTAATTTTTGTCATGCAAAGAAAAAAAAAACCTCATAGAAAAGCATATTTTTTTAAATTGAATATCATTCTACTCTCAGGTAACATTTAACAGGCCCAAATGTTAAACCCAAAGTCCCAGAGGTGAGAGCCACTGTATTACCAGGAGTGTACAGTACATCACCCATGGATGCATTGTAGGTTAACTGTACTGTACCTGCATTTTTGAGGTCTTATGAGATGAGCAATATCAGCGAAACGCAAGAGTGCTGCTTTTAAACTTCTAGCTGCATCATTCTAGAAACAAAAACAGACATCTTTACGTAATTCACACAAAGATGACAGACATCCTTCTCTGTGCCGTCAATCCCTTCATGCTTTATAGTTATTATTATACGACTCTAACTACCATATTTACTTGAATAGACGCTGCGGCGTTTAGTTAATTTCTTGTGATCCAGCTGTGGCCTTTATTCAGGGGCGCCGTTTATTCGGGGGTGGCGTTTATTAAAAAATCACTTTATTCAACAAGATTTTGAAACAGCAAAGTTAAGGACAGGTAACGGTAACAAATCTAGTAAAAATGTCATTCATAGTCTTACTTTGTCTGCATGTTCTTTGTACAGTAACTTAGAACTTAAAAATGTTGCCCTAAATGAAAATAAATTTCCATTGTTGCTATAAACTTGAAATATACTTGTTCTTTATTATTTATAATAAATTATTATTTCCTCAAATAAATACCACACCATAGATGCAGCGTCTATTCAGGGACAGCATCTATTACTATCTTTAGTCCCAGGTGCAGTGTTTATTTGAGGGCGCGGGGTTTATTCGGGGTGGGGGTCTATTCGAGTAAATACGGTATACACAACATGCATGCTTTCTATTTCATTTAACAAATATGAAGGTGACATCAGATATAGACAAAGGAATCATTCACCTTTTTTATTTCTTTGTAAAGCTCAACAAGAAGCCTTCCAAGGTTAGAATCCAGTAGTTCCTGTAAGAAAAATTTCCATTAACAGTTTATGAAAAAAAAGTTCAAGATTGAGTTATCTCATTAATGCCTTTTGAATTTTGCAGTAAACATCACTTGGATCTATTTTATAACCACCACTCCCCTGGGCTCTACCATAGTGGTTCACTTCACATGCATTACTATTACCACTACATTCTATGTTTATTCACAAATACAGTATATATATTTTGCATATATATCTCTTTTAATCAATTAATCTACAAAAATAGTCCATGTACATGTAGTGAATTCAGTAGTTTAATCGCAATGCTTTAAATAATAATTCCTACCTTTAAAAGCTTATTGAGGGCTTCTCCTGCCACAAGCCTTACATCTGATTCATCATCATCACAGGATGCCAGAAGTGTATCTACTCCAATTGCAAGGAGCTTGGGAAACTCTTGAATGCTCCTTTAAATTGTAAAAAAACACATTTCTAAAAGAACCATCTTTTATTTTGTTCAATAATTTGATTGCTCTTGACATACAAGTATACTTAACAATTATTCRCCGAAGGTGAAGTGAACATCGGGGAATAATAACCGAAATGAAGTCGAGGTTATTATTGCCGATATTCACTGAGCCTGAGGTAAATAATTGTTTTAGTATAAATACACAGGTGATTCTTTCAAGATAAAAGAAGAAGAAGATAAAAAACACATTTTTTTCCGGTTACAGCAACAAAGCGGCTGCCCGCCATTTTGGATTATTGCTGGAGGTGATTATCGTGTCATAATCCGAGTTTCTCGACCAATCACCGCTCTATATTTTCAATTATCACCTGTGCATTTATACTAAAGGCAAATAAAAGATCCATAGATAAGAATTGAGCCACTGGTTTTCAGATTTTTTATGATTTATTTTTTATGGTACTCCCTAAGCCTGGTTCACACAAGTAATACATGCAAGAATAACAACATAGGCAAGCCCAGATAGTACTTTAAGGTTCACTGAATGTTTTGTTCCACCCAAATAGAAAGGAATAAACTAGCCGTAAAGCACTATTTGCACTTGCACATGTCATTAGGCTTCAGCAGTCCCATTTGGTATAATGAAAGACAAAATATGAAGAAGAGAAAAAATATTAAACGTTGTAGGCTTGAAAATGACCCCTCTGCATCCAAACTCCCAATTGCAAGGATACAAGCAATCCTGAAAAGTCCCTTGGCAACACTCCTCTAGATCCGACTATGCATTATTAAGTACATGTATGTATGTGTGTTTCAGCATGTTTCATCCCCATCCCACCCTAAATCTCAAAACCTGCTTGTTATTGAAAACATATTAAATGAAATTCTCTAAAAAAAACTTGTGGTAAATGACTGAAATTAAATAGATGTTTTAATGGTTAGGAGATATGCAATAGGGTATTATAAGTAAACCATCTAAAAGTAGCACTTTAAAAATAATTGAGTGGAAAACCAACCTTATCGATGAAGAGTATAAAAGCTCTGGGATAGCACTGATGTGTGACAACCTGTCCTTTTTCGGCAAGAGACCTTCCTTTTTCCTAAAGAAAATATTCTTTGTTTATTTTTGATTTTTATCCTAATCTTTAAAAGCAAAGCAAAAGCATGACTCATTTCCTAATCTTTGAAGTACCAAAGTAATTTTGGTAATGGTCTTATTAGCAATAAATTAGTCTTCAAGCATGAATGGGCTATGAGCCAAAGTCCTCATGGGCTATTGACTATAGGCCATGAGGGCGAGAGGACTAATCGTTTTAGTCAAATCTAACTAATCAGATAAATATTTAGATGCAAAAAAGTCTTCAATTAAAGATAAATTCAATTTTTTGGCTTTCAAAGCTGACACCTTTTGCAACTAGTAGGCTTTAACTTATAGCCTAATAGTAGCTCTTCCAATCAGAATGCAGCATTGATGATAGACTGCCAGTTGAATTTGACTAATAATGCATAGGACATAACACAAGAGGATCCCATTCACCATCATTACTTAAAAATGGAAAAATGGGATTTTCGTGAAGCCTGAGATAAAACTGGAAATGATATTGGCTCTTTGTCTTTGATCATATACAATTAAAATACATGATTTTTCTTCCTTGAGCAGTGAGCTTATCTTATTTATTTTCAATAAAAAATAATAATAATGGTATTGGCTGATCACTCCAAAAAGTGCTGATCTGAAACCTTTCACCCATTCATGATCAATACTACTATAAAGATTTATTCCACCGGTAATAAATATYAAAATACCAGCAATCGAGGTGAATAGCATGGCTTTCCTTCAAAAAGTAAATCAACGCCTAAAATATCTACATCAACCACGAAGAGATCCACACAAAAATAACAAGAAAACGACAGTCACTGTGTGGACTCTGTCATGGCACAGATGTAATAATATAAATGAAACCTGCATACTTTGCCAAAGGGTTGGAATCGGGAACAGGGATTCCATCTCTATAATTCTTCAAGGCTTCAAACAGCTTCAACAACTTATCAGCCGCTGCCAGAGACATTATTTCCAATCGATCTTGTTTTTTTCAAGAACCATTTCCTTTATTTTAGCAGAGATCAACTACTTTTCCGTCCGCCATAATTGATTCCATCCTTCAGCCTCTCTTCCACGCACCAAACTCCTCCCCAGTTCCTTTTGCTCGCACGGTCAATCAAAGGTGCACATTTTTTACTCCATGCTTTTGAATATTTTAAAAATCGTTATTCTTTCGAGCTGTGAGTTAATAAAAGAAGTGTTAAGAGAATAGAAAGGGTTTTAGCGGGTGAAGAACGGATATTTTATTTAAGGGAGATTTGGTAGCCTCGTTTGGGTGTCGTTGCGCAGGCCCCCTCGTGCCTGTGACGGACAGGGCGCAGCCCTTGCATACAAAGATCTCTTTCTTTCAAATTCTCTTCCATTTGAAGAGCTTCCTTTTTTTCGTTTTAGAAAACATAGAAATGGAAGAAACAATCCAAGATGTAGTTCGACCAGGGTAAGCAGACGTTTTTAAGTCGTACCACGTCGATTAAAGTCGCGTTGGTTTGATGTTTTGAGCTCGTAGAAAGTTTTTACTGTGATTTGAGTAAAGCCATGTGACTGCTTAGTTGATGTCTGCGTTTAGAAATCGTCCTGAGTCACATCGCTTGTCTTTTCTCATCAATCTGTTTTTCACCTAGATGCAAGAACCGCGAGAATCTCCACTCGATTATCTCCAAAATCTCAGAGAATGCGAGCACTGAGGAGCCAGGAATGGTAAGAAACTAGAGTTTTTGAAATCAAAGTTGTTGTGTTGGAGAATGCGACTAGTTGTCTCTTGGGTCTAGATGTTTGACCGCCATTAGCGCCAATCAGACATAACTTACTCGACTTAGACAGCTGTACTGAGGATTATCATTAGATATTCTATTGGTTCGCGAAGATAGATAGCAAAATATCGTTTGCAAATTGGAATAGTTTCATTTGGGAACTGGATATATTCGAATGATTGGGTGTTTACGTATGCACGCATACTTWGGTTGTGTTCTGTCATTACGCTCTGGGATTTGTGTAGAAATTGAAAGTTTAGCCTTCCAAATTATTTCACTTTATTTGTTTAAACTTAAAGGAAAACATAATATTTAGTCCGAGTTACTTTGAGTGAGCTTTTCAAGGGTCTTTCCGTTAACTTTTTTTCACTCCCGGGGGAARATTTCGCCACTAAACTGTTCTTTTCGCTAAAACAAGACTTTATTGTTTGTGTTTAAAAATGATCATAATTTTGCATCGATAATTAGCTTCGCTTCAAATCACTCTTTTCAAATCACTAATTACTGAAATTTCGATGCAAAAGTTCATACTCTTGGAAAAGTTTTAAAGAAAAACATTCATTACTTTAAGCGCTTTTACCTTAGCTTTGCCTTTGGAAAAGTTTATCAAGTTTACAAGCGTACAAAAAACCCCTGATAATTATTCCCACAAGTAACTTAATTAGTTTTGAAGCATCTTTATGCAAATGATTCAAAAATCCAAAGTTGCCATRCTTGGGGAAAAAATGCGCCCAAATAAAGTGTAAAAACAATAGTAAACGAATTGGGATTTGTCATTCTCATGCAGTAGGCTACAAGGGGGATGAATGAAATATATAGATTATTAGAATGAACATTCCTAAGTCCTATATTCTGAAAATCATCTTTTCAATTCTAATCCATTCCCTGAACAATAAACTCTAAATTCCAGTAGAAAAAAAATATTTTTGAAAGTCCTTGAGTTCTTCCTATTAAGAAATTGTAACTTAGTTATTTATGCTCTCTTTGTAATGGACAAGAAGTACTGGGCATTTTAGGAGCGTAATGTTTTTTGCACAATATTATGTTATTGTCTTATAACTCCATGTTATGCTTGGCCAGTTTCCTTTCCACGTTTTGTGAAAAGAACTTTACATAAACAGCAAAAAGATATAAATTCATAGTTATTTAATCTTTGCAGTGATAGTTATATCTTATCATGCTTGGATGTAACATATTTGTCTCATTTAATTGGTTTATTTGATTTTAATTTCTAGAGTGATGAGGAACCTGGATATGATCAAGGTACTCTGACAGAACATAACAGTATGAAAAGGTAAAAATTTTTACTGTAATTATTCATACCTAAACATGACAAATGCATTAAAAAAGTCAAGATGAAAAATTCATTTTTTAGAGGAAAAATATAATTATGTACTAGGTTTTAGAATTAAATGAAACATTCAAAAMAAGGTTCATTTGGAAAATAGTGTTTGAAATGTTAAAGTTAGAGTTGTTAATTTGGTYATAAGTGCAAGTTGGAGTAAGATTTTTTTCAGTGAAAGGAAATTCGAATTTTGAAAAAAAGTTGATAACAACCAAAGATATTTGAGTATACCTTGCTTGGGGCAAGATTGAAATATATTCTAAGATGTTGGTGGTATTTATCTTATTTTTTTTTAAAAATGCAACCTATTGCTCAATGTAAGGGGTTTTTCTGTGAGGTTCACATGCACTACAATTATATTCACTACACACAATACTCAACTCACATGTTGATTTTCTTGGAGGAMAGAAAAACTGTAGAAAAATCCTTGTGGCAAGGAAGAGAAAAAAGCACATCAAACAAACTTACTGTTGTTCGATATTCTGCGAACTTGTAGTTGAAAGCTGAATGTTGATTTTTTTTTGCTGTCGCTAATCAAAAATAATCAGTTAGCACCTTTTACATTTATGACTAGCAGTAAAAAACCAATTTCACAACAAGCCATTGAAATGTCTGAGTTYKCAGAATATTGAAAACTGCAGTAACTCACACTTGTGTTTCAGCATACTGTAGAATCAAACTTGTGATCCAAGGCTTGTTCTACAGTAGTGAGACAGAGCTGTAGCAGCACCCACTTGCTCTCTTACTTTTACTTTTTTTGAAATATTGGAAATTACATCATTTACATGCTACTATRGAATGAGTTTCATCCTAATATATTATTAAGTCCCGGAACTTTGGACTGTGATATCTATGCTAAAAAGCCTTCAAAGTCTCATGTATAAACAACTGTAATCTACAAGTAAGCTTCACTTTTTCTAGCCTAAGTAAGCAGAAGTTTTACACTGAGATGAGTGCTTATTTTACATGGCACTGGTGTAGCTTGTGGTACAGTGATGAGAAGTAACTGGAATAAACTTATTTTGGGATGGCTAATGTGTATTGGTATAGTTTCAGTGCTAGCATATAAAAAGATATTAAAATAATATGTAGAAACTGGGAAAAATGCATTCAGAAAAAAGAATCAATCATGGATTTGATTTTTTTTTAATAGCATGTTGTATTRTCTTTTATAGAAAAGTGGAGAGAAAAAGTGAATCAAGTAGAAAACTTTTTAAAGAAGATAATGGCAATGAGTCAGATGCATTTGTTGGAGAAGAAACTCTGGAAAGTGTCCACATCTTTTCTGATTTCCCACTGGATGATAGTGCACCTCATTCAATTGCCTCCAGTGTTCAGCATGTTGAGGGTATAATGGATCCACTACCTATTTATACCCAGGTTCCTATTGACAGTCCCAAAGAAAATGCTGTGAGCAACAGCGACATTGAAGGTATTAATTATTTATTTATTATTATATTTATAAATTTTATAAAATATTTAAGATATAATGCGCACCCAGATTGGTTATCTACCATGTTTACATGTATATCAGAGGACATAGACACGCTCACACAAAGTTGTCCAAAAATATTCAATAAAAGCAATATAGAATGGCTGATTATGTCTCTGTAGTGTGATATAAACACTTTGAGAGCTGTAGAGCACTCGAGAAGCAAGAGAAACTAAGCTTGCTCCTCTTTTGCTCTACAGCTCCCAGCCTGTTTATATCACAGAGACATGGGCGCACGTTTTATATTCCTTGAACAATTATATATCCATCATTCTCTTTTTTACTGCAGCTTATAAGAGTACCTATGATTTTTTAGGAGGGAGAATAAGACATCAGCAGAAATATTAGCAGCATACATTTATAATATGTACTTTCTTATGCTGCCAGTTTTGATCTAAAACCTTAACCTTATTTGTATTYGTAGATAATACAGTTTGTGAAGAAGAAATGAACCACATGCAGCAGGTTGGTCTAGTTCCAGCAAAGAAAAGAAAAGAAGACATARTATCAATTCCATCAGATGTCGAAGTTCCATTTCATTTCCATAAAAAGTTAGAACAGTTGGAAAAGGAAGTACAGCAGCTCCATAACAAAAATCGTGCTCTGGAAGAATCCTATAAAAAACTCAGTGACCTGGTAGAAGCCCAGAACCACTTATTAGCTAGTGGAGGACCAATGTTACAGCGCATGCCAACCCTAGCATGCACTGCACCACAAACTAGAGAAGACTGTGTTAGCATAGCYGACATGCAACCCACAGACAAAAAAGTCATTGCCACTGCCTCTATACCAAGTTACGTCACATCACAGTCTGTCACACAATCTTCAGAGCTGGCAAGAATGCATGCTTCTTCTCCTTTGGTTACTAAGCAGAATGGAGTGACTGCTTTCGAATTGCCTCGCAGAGTTTCAGCCAAGGAAGTGCTCCACCTCTGGGAGTATGGCTGTGATGAATTTCCACCTCTCAAGGACTGGACCCCAACCCAGAAGCTAAAGCAGCAAAGTAAAATCTCAAGGTGGAAGAAGCTGGTGGATATTTTTCASAATGGGTATGGTGGAAACTGGAATGACTTTGAGAGGAGTTTCTCAGACAGCAAGGGAGAAGTCCTTCCTGTCACAACCATTCTCTCTCTCTTTGAAACTCAACAGACACCTGCCTTTTTGTCTTCCGTGACACCAATAAAAGAAAATGGAGTACACAGTCCCCTAAGAATTAAGGCAGAAGAAGAGGATAAGTCCAATTCAAGAACACATTTGCACTCAGATGGAGACAGTGAGGTTTCAGATGTTTCCATGGACAATCCTGAAGCAAAAGACATGGAACAGATACCAAAGGAACTTGGCAACTCTTTGAAACATGAAAACCWTTCAGAAAGTCGCTACACACTACCAAGAAAAGTTACGCCAAGAGAYATTGTCCGTCTGTGGGAGAATGGATGTGAAGACTTTCCGCCAGTGGGGGTGTGGTCAAGAGCACAAAAGATTGGCCAGGAGACAAAGATATTTCGMTGGAAAAAAGTGGTGGACATTTTCAATGGTGATTGCCAACGAAATTGGGAAATATTCGATAGAAAATATACCAATGACAAATCTCTTCCTCTCCCTATATCTGCCATTATTGCAAAGTATGATGCTGAGCATGTTGTACATGGACCCATCTTTGATACTAAAATTAAAGGTGAACCCAGAAGAAATTCAATAATYGCTGGATTTGGCTCAAGTAGTTCATTAGGAGAAACAGAGAATGAGACAGTTATCGTGAAGACAGATCAAACCATGGGACCTGTGGAGGTTAAAATTGAAATACCAAACCTGGGACCTGATTCTGATGATGTTTTCTCTTTCTCGGCCAGCGATAGTGCCTTTGGATCTCAAGAATCGTTAGGCCGCTGCACATTGATCACAACTGAGGCCAGCACAACAGAAGACCATAAATTTGGACTTGACTGCAAACCATTTAGGGAGAGTTGCACATCTCCAAGAGAAGATAAATACGTCCTTCCACGYAAAGTAACAGCTAAAGATGTGATAAAGATGTGGGAACAAGGCTATGAAGACACRCCACCAYTATCCACATGGAGTCCAGCTCAAAAGGCAGGTCAGCGCAGCAAATTCTCTCGCTGGGCCAAGATATATGACATTTTCAAGTACCACTGCAAAGGTGACATGGAAGAATTTGAACGCACGTTTTCTGATGAGAAAGGTGAATTGATTCCTATTACCACGATTGTAGCTATGCATGATGCCAGAAATACCAGTGCTCCTAATATCAGTGGTGTATCATTCAGCAGTCCTTCAATGGTAGCACAGTCTAGCACAGATGCAGAATTAGAAATTTATCAGCTACCACGTAAAGTCAGTGCAAAGGATGTTGTTCAGCTGTGGGAGGAGGGCTGTGAACGCTTTCCACCTGTTTCAAGGTGGCCCAAAATTCATCGAGTGGGTCATGAAACAAAGCTCTTTAGATGGAAAAAGATAGTTGATATCTTCAGAAAAGACTGTGGTGGAAGCTGGGAAAAGTTTGAAGAGCGGTTTTGTAATTCAATGGGAGAACTGTTACCTATTTCTGCAATCTTGGCAAAGTATGATCTTGAAAATGAACCAGTCTCATACTTCAAACCAGTAAATCTAAATGGGTCTGTGAGGCATTCAGTAGATAAGCCTGGTCCAACAATGGCTGACACTCCACACCTWAGTAGCAACTTGCCAGAATCCACTGAAGATAATACSCAAACAAAAGACACCACTCCTTCCAAACCCAGCACACCACTACCATCCAGGCCACCAGAGTTCATTCTTCCCAAGAAAGTCAGTGCCYTAGATGTAATATACTTATGGGAGAATGGTCTTGATGATATGCCACCTGTATGTCAGTGGTCATCAGCTCAGAAAGCAAGCCAGAGAAGCAAGATTTCAAGATGGAATAAGATTGTGGATATATTTAAGTAYGAGTGTTGTAGTGACATTCGACAGTTTGAAGAGAAGTACAAGGATGAGCGAGGGGAACTGATGCCAATCACTACCATTCTCAACCTACATGATGCACAAGATAAACCATGGGAAATGGAATAGACTTGCTATATACATGCTGACATYATAATTGAACACTTAAATGCTCATTAAAATCAGACTCTGGCTTTTGTAGGCTAAATTGTCATTTTATACAAACTTTTTACTCTAATGTTATTCTTTTGTAGCAAACTTGTTTGGTGCAAATTCACACTTTCTTGTCTTTATTTAAATAGAAATTTTTGCCAAACRTATAAGGGTTCCCAGTTCATGATTTGTTTCTTCCAAAGACTCTRGCTTTATTTTTCATTTTCAAAATTATAGCATAGCATAGTTGGTATCGAAAACCTCTCCTTGCTAGGTTTTTTAAAGTGAATTTGTTTTCATGTTTTTTSTATTAAGAAAATRGAAAAAAGCAGCTTKGCTTTAAATATTTYYTTCTAGACTGTAAGTTGTTCTATTTATTCTTTTTTGCCCTCTTTCAAGCAGGTGCAACTTAATATTTTTATTGTATTTTATTTGATCCTTAAGCTGCGAGTAGTTTCAAAAGGGAAAACGGCATTTATTTCTAAATAGAAAAGACATCTCTATGGTTCTATAAATGTTAAGCAAGTATGTAAATAGTTTTTGTGTGAAAAAAAGGGACAGGATAGCAATCCAAATGCATGCTACATTTTGTATGTGTGGGATTGTTAGTCATTCCATCCTGTTCTAAATTTTTATTTTTCTAAAGTCTTGACAATTTTAAAAGAAAATATGATATTTTAAAAGTACGTGAATAAGTGTGTCTTGCTTATGTTTAGCTAGCCATGTAGGCCAATTATTATGCTTTCCATTAAAGCTTTTTTTCATGTAAATAGCGTTGCATAAAAAGGCCATTCAATGATGATAAAAACAAAGATTCCTTATAGAAAACCATTTGGGATTAACTTGGAGTGGAAAYGTCTTGGATAATTTTTGAGCATATTTGGATAGAGGCTTTTTCAAAACTTTAGTGAGGTATTTATCTTTTCAAAATTGTAAGTCAGGGATATTTGAAACTTTTAAAAAAACAATTTGTCTACAAAATGCTGCCTCCTTGTGGGTGGTYTAAGTCTTTATTCAACCTGTGTCATTACAGTGCCCAATAAGATGTTGTAGGGTATTAATTTAAAGGCCTTGCAAATTCAGTTRATGATAGCCTAGTTGCAGGAACAACAATCCATCCATTTTACATTAGAAATTTCAATTTTAAAGGAAAAGGGATCTTATTATCATACTGCAATCCAACTAGGCAGTAATTAGATAACTCTGCAAAGTTTCTAATTTCTTTTTTTTCTTTTTTTCTTTTCATTCATTTCGTAGGCCCATCATTTTTTCCTCAAAAGAAACTGCGACTAACATTACAACTAGAGTATATGTACATAAATATAAGTTGCAGTGGATTAATGTACATAATTGCTTCTTAGCAATAATTCTTRGCGTATATTCAACAATTAACTAGTGACAAATATATCCAAATCCAGTGGTATTTCGAGAACTTCCATTAATTTTTACTTGATTGTAATAAATAAGTCATATTAAGTCAGTGGCCTTATCATTAGGGCCAGTCTATATTTTTAGAATAAAAAGCAAAATTTAATCTTGTGAATGTTGTACTGACCTGGTATGGAAGGATTAAATCTTTGAGGGGATGAAGACCCTGGTTCCAAGATGGGTATATTCCAAGGTCTGCATTCATGTATTTGTAATAATATTTATTATATGGCCGTGAATCTTAGAGCCTGGACACTAGCAAATCGAGCAATCTGATTGGATAGATCGCATCGCAGACTGGTCTAGATTCTCTGGTATTAACTGGTCCAATCGCGTATTAATCTTACGGCAAAAACATTTTGTCCTTTTCAATGAAAAGTGGTCATATAATAAAACTCTTATCAACTGAGCTTGGTCGGTCTGCACGGGATAATCTTGACCTCAGTCGGGTACAAACCTCGCTGCGCTCGGTCTGTACATTCCGACCTTGGTCAAGATTATCCTGTACAGACCGACCAAGCTCGGTTAATAAGATCTAAATCAAACACATGAAAGCGTGTTTCATCCATTTACCAAACACAGAGAAGCGAGTTAAAAAAGAGAAGAGCCGAGACAAACTTTCAAGTGCTTGATATATTTTTTTAAAGCTCATTTTAAAATAATTCAGGGGGAAACCAAGAAAATCACTAGCGTGAAGATGTGGAAATGGGATCTTAATAAGCATAAAATTTGGGCAACTTATGCTTTGACTGGTATCCAAGAAATGATAATAGTTTGAGAAGCCATATCAAGCACTTCAAAGAGTGTTTCATCCTAATTCATCCTTGTTCATTCTCAGGAGCCCAGAGGTAAAATTCTGTCACTCTTTTCTCACTTCCAAAAAAATAGCCCTGGGYACTAAGTCTGTTAGAGCCCATTCTGGTAGGCCATATTAATCTCTTTCCTGATGGGTCAACCTACTGGGGTCTACCAATAAGCATCGAGTATATGTAAATAAAAATGTGATGGCCTTGGACTTCCTCACTTTGCATGTACTGCTTAGCTTTCTCTGCAGTCCCTATAGGCCTTGAGCAAGATGACGTTTTACCCCCCCCCCCTCCCCCCGACTCTATACAAGTATTATACAATAGCTTTTAAAATTCTTTCATATTAAAATTTTTGATTCCTTAGAGAATATAGGAACATAGTCATAATTAAAGGACAAAAGCAGTGTGAAAAGCATTATGGTCTAGAGACGGGGTAAAACGTTATCTCGCCTCGGGCTTATTCCCCCTTCATGGCAACAAAATGGGGGCTTTTTGGAATTTTTTCAATAAATTGGAAAGTACTGGCTATGCCCCTGCTGTTGCATGACTGCCTATTATTTCTGCAATTGTGGACCTCCTCATTTGACTGGCTAAACAAGATAATATTTGAGCTTTTATTGACTTCCAAAAACAGTTTACCTCAATTTACAGTTCTGTTGRAAACACAAAATATTCATAAACCATTTGTTACAACCAAATAACTTTATTAGAGTGCAAACCATATATCTGTGCAATAGCAAAAACTAAATGACACTAAACACATCATGCCATTTCTTTTCTTTTCATTGTTTCAAGCTATTTTGTACTAATTAGTATTATTTCATAGATATATGGTTTTCACTCTACCAAACATTAGTAATGTTTGAAATCTAAATTCATTATATAATCCTTTAGCATAATGATTGCATTGGACAAGTGAGAAGTGAAAAGGGCAGTGCTCAAACAAATCCAAAAGATAAACACTACTTTATGTAATCCATGCTGACAGAAATTTGCTGATGATCAACATAAATTATTAAAAATGATCTGTTTATTTCCCTACCAAGACAATGCTGTTAAAAATCAAATTCAATTAAGGTAAATACTTTCTTTGATTAAACCTTGATGCAACATCTTGTTACATAATAAAACTGAACRAAAAAAATTGTTAACTGTGATACACCTATTATTAAAAATGTATGGTGAATGGAAAAATTTTGGAAATGAAGGTCCCATGAAAAAGAAAATGTTTAGTACTTGTAAAAACACTTTCCAAAGCTAAAAATAATGGCCAGTGAATGGATCACTTGGGACAGTCCTCTTGACTGGTGACATGTTGATCAGTCCAATGTGGYTGGTCATCATGTCCAGCTAGTATTGARCAGCCATTATTTTTTGACCTACTCTAACCCCATTGTATTGCCAGGTTTCAATCAACTGATAAAAATCTTTGAATCTGATTATCTGCTCCAAATGGTGGTCAAACACTGACCCCCATGTGCTGTCAACCAGAAAGATTTCCATTGATTGAAACTAGTGATTCAGCAGATGAACATTTCRCATGAGACAGGGAAACATGTCAAGTGAAATMAAAAAATTGGCTGTTTCATGCCAAGTCTTCATTTAGGCTTCAAACACATATATTTTGATTTACTGGGACTGTCTTTGTGCTGCAATTCATGGTATATATTCAGTAATCACAAGACCTCCTTTTCTAAAAATAGCTGTAACACATGTACAAGAAAGACTATTTCTGTGTGCCATCTGTGTGTGGAGAAGAACCAACAAGTTTGGGTCTATATGCAGGCCATCTACAWATGGGACAGCACTGATGTGCTATGGTACCTCCACTTGTTAGCCAAATTCCAATGCACTGTTGATGAAAACAATGGCCACAAGGTAACCCAAGGACTGTTGCACCAGAGGTRAATTCTTCCAAACATATTGTACAATCCTTGCTAACCATGATTCCTGGAGGTTTTTGAGATCCAACACAGGAGCAGGTGCAGCCATTTTCWGAGTGATCTTTGATGGTAGTACCAATGGAAGCATGATCCTCATGTATAGAACAAAACRTCCAAGTTGGGAGGTTTTTTATGTAGTCTGTTGGAAATACAGGGTGCAACCAAAGATCTGGAACAGCTAATCTGCGCACTAACATATCAAAACCATCTTCAAAACTAGCAGGAGAATAGTTGATTTGAGGGTGCCACTGTGATAAGGACTGAAAYAACTGTGAAAAGTAATTAAGGTCTTGAGTTAACCAGTCTGCGTTGGGATCATCATCATCATCATCATCCACAATCCTGAAGTAGCATTTATATTTCCTTCTTATCCAAGCAGCTAATGCTCCAAATGCGAAGTATCCTGCCAGTGTGACACSCCTGTAGTTGATGCATARMAGRAAATCATTTCGTATGATAGCTGCAACATCTGTGCTCATRACTGAGCGACAAAATTTAAGACCAGCATCAAGGATAGGTGATAGGCCTGGAAGTTGAAAGAGTCCAATGGCRGGTAGAGAAAGTATGATAAGACTGGTATTATAAAATGTTAATAAACACAGCAGTTGAAACGTCCTCCTTAGTAATCCACCACGCATAAGGAACAACTCTAACAGACAACACAGATTGACAACACAAAGGGCAGTCAGGAACAGATCATTAACTTCAGGATGGAGTGTTTTTAAAAAAAGGTCCATGGTTCCATAATCAAATTTCTCCCCTTTTCTATCACCAAATGCAAATTTCCCTTCAGGAGTAAATAACATCAAAGTAGGTATTCGTTTTATGCCAAGTTCTCTAAGCTCCTTAGATACCGGTCTTTTCGAAWGGGATGTGTAGTATGCAAACCGTACTCGACCTGTAAATTTGATGGAAAGCGATGACAAAAACATTGGGGGTTCTGGGAGAGTCGAAAAAAGAGCCACGTATATGTAGTTCTTTTCCAACTGATTCCTTAGATTTTTACGAAAACTATCTATAGTATCTATTTCCATTATTTTGGCAGATAAYTTGGAGTTTACCCAACGAAAGACGCGATCCACATTAAGTTTCTTTTTCGTATCATATGTTTGGATAATGACGTTACCCTTCGGCTGGTTGCTCTGTGGCATAGAAAGGATGATTGAAGTTTTATTCCAACGATACTTATGGCAAAGCCACGGATCATTCTCACATTTAAACGTACCCATTCTTATCCCAAACCATGAAATTTTACGTTTAAAGGATTTCCACTGCTTGGAATTTAGGACAGGCGAACATCCTTGTGGGATAACTTCCACGAGCCAACTCCCTGCTTTGGTGTCTTCGACTTCCTCGAAGAAGTGAGAAGCTCTAGTAAAAGCAAACTCATTATCTTCTTCTTCGCTTTCTAGAGGATTTTCCTTAGAAAGACATGTATCTGGATCAGTCACAACTCCAGAAGCCTCGACCAAATCGGCCAGTTCGTTCTTTTCGACAGCTCCATTATAACTTATCCCTCTCTTGTCTAGGATTTCTTTTAGTTTACGGACACTGAGAGYGAACGGATCGAAGAACTGAGATGCCAGGCACCCTGCTTCCAACCAACTTGAAGTAAGGTCGAGGATTCTAGCAGCTAAAAATATAATAAGAAAATAAACTAGCAACAAAATCACYTTAGCTAACATGGCTGCCCTTCATATACATACATCAACAACATACCAAGGATTCTGGATAATCTCTCATGCGAGCGATGATTGGCTGGTTTAAAGTTTCCCGCCAAAGCTCGCGAGTCCGCTGACGTGTCGTAAGATTGAGTTAATGCTAATTTTATTCTGTCTCACATTTGGACAATTTTGAAAATTTARCCAATCATATTTAAGCTTCTTTAAACGTTTTATTTCTATTCATGGATTACGAGCAAGAGAATGCCTGCTTTGCACTTTTTATTTGGCTGATAGGACTCTGAGTTGTACAAGAAATATACAGAGTATTCCTTGTTCTTCTTGTTCGTCTCATAGAATAACCCAAACATTGTTTCTTTTCTTTCGATAGTTTTAAACGAGTGCTTTGCAGCTTTTGGTTCTGCAAACAAGGCGCTCTATTGRAGTCTGATTTTCCAGCAGCTTGTTTTAAAAGGTGAGCACTGACCGTCACTTGTTGTCACTTGTTATCTTGAGCAAGATTTCTTCTATCAGCTTAAATGTTATTACTTTGGTTACGCGGTCAAATGTTAGTTGCAGCAAGCCTTATTGCTGTTAGTTCTTCGGTAGAATCTTAAAGTTTTCTCATAGAACATTTTTTGGTYTTCAACTTATAAGTTTCTGGTCTTTCTGATGTAAGAACAGGAAAGCCAGTGGGAGCAAGCTGTGTAAAATTACTGAATGGCTAGTTAAGTAGTATACATATTTAGCGATGATTCTAAGGTAGAGACAGGGGGTACACCGAAGTGCGTAAAGTAAGCTAGAGGGAACCTACAAATCCAGCAATGTGGTAATAGCCCATGAGGCCAAAGGGCAAATTATTGTCTATTGACTCTAACCCTGAGGGCAAGAGGTCTAGTTGTTTCTAGTTTAAACTTACTGATCAGTCAAATATATGGATACAAACAATTTTTAAATCATTTAGGTCCAAAATGCGAGTTATAATATAGCCACCCTTGTTTTGGTTTTCAAAATCRGCACTTTTTGCTACTAGTGGTCTATCACTAATAGATCAATAGTAGCTTAGCCAATCAGAGTATGGGATGTATGTTACAATTATTTTAGTTGACTCTGCACTCACACATCCCTTCTGTCAACAAAAAATTGTCTTTATTTGATATTTGCACCAAATGCCATATTTCTATTAGCTGAACATGTTATGGATCAAATGGGTTTAAATCACTAAATCCAAAATAAACATGTGGTCTTATATTACAAACGACATTAATAACAAAAGAATAAAACGAATAAAACCTTAAATTAACCCATGAAGTTCAAGATATACTAATAAAAATGTGTATAACCAATGTATATAAAAACGATGACAATGATAACCAACTTGCATTTTTTTTTTTTATTAATCTTTCTTAATAAGCAGTGATAAAAATGATAATAAATCCAAGCTTTTCACAGATATTAAAATTATCCTGCCTGATTACCAAATCTTCAACTTTGAATCCAAGCTTATAATGCTCATCTTAGATCAGCTGAAAAAGAAGAATTTAGGCATTACCTTAAGCCTTCAAGGTATTGTATAGGTTTTGAAGATTTTTTTCCAGTTTGTCAAATGTTTCTTTTTTATGTCCTCTGTCGCAAATTTGAAAACCCTCTTTAGAGTCATGTGAGAATTGAGGATTTTGCCCTACTGAAATTTGAAATGTAATATAATATTTTGCAGAGGATGTATAACATATGTTTGAGTTGGATATTTATTTATTTAATTAATTTTTTTGAAGCAAATACAGGTAGCTCAGTAATACAATTGATTTAGCTCTGAAATTGCTATAAACCAATCAGCAGAGACTAATAGAGAGATCAGATAAGCTGCCAATACAACATGGTATATCAAATTACTTGAAGTATGAAGCATAAACATAATAATTTCCATATAGCAATGGTCAATTAGTAATTTATGTCGATAATGAGCTTGGCGAGAGTAATATGGTTGATGAAAACCTCATATGGGGTAACAATTATATAGTAAAACATGGCTACCTTTTCAGTTAGCTATAACTATCAGGTTTTGAGAACTAAATCAAACTCTAAGTAAAAAAACAAGAGATGCCCAACCATTATGCTCCATTGTAAGAACAAAAGAAATATGATGAAAAAGGAAAGAAATCACATGCTTATATACATCAAGTGCTAAACCAATTTATTATAGTACCTATCTTATAATTGACCAAATTTTGACTTGAGTCCCTTTTGCTATATGTAGTCTATATATCTTTCTCAGTGCCTTACTATTTTTTCTGTAATTCTTTTTCTCCTATCCCTAATAAAACAATAAAATAATCTTTATAAGTTATTTCATATATTTTGTTGTAGCTGACTTAATTAATGCATGATATCTTCCCATTATGAAACAAAATTAAAATAACATGTCCACTAAAAATATAATTCTTTTTGTAAGAAAATTTGAAGATTTCAGTTAATGTTTTGGTGATAAATTCATACAAGAGAAGCAAAATGATAATAATAACAATAATAATAATAATAATAATAATAAAACTGTTAGGATATTTGATATTTCAGTAGGAAAATAAACAACTAGACATTTACGGTAGAATGACCATATAAGGAATTTATTGCTATCTAGAATTCCAAAAATAAAAGCATATTTTTGACTACAGCCCGGCATGAGCAAAATAATATCAAAACTATTGCTAATACTTTGAAAGTCTTGCATATTGAAAATATCATAGTCAAATACATACATTTGTTATTTTTTATTCTATATCAAAATAATGAATCAATAAGATTTGTGTATTCAAAAGCACAAAAACAGATTTTTTCTAAAAGCCCTTTTTGACGATTGAAAATAAAATCTGTGTATTCAAAAGCACAAAAAAGCCTTTTTGATGATAAAAATTGATAATTGGGAAGACTTCCAAAATTTCATGTAATTAATTTTTCCTTTTGAAGATGTATAGGATAAATCACTATACTTGTAATTAACTTGAAGATCGGCGCTGACAATTTAATATTGGAGTTCACCTTTTGAAGCTTAGACTTTTCATTCTTTTCTTTCTTAGTTTCTACAGCCCTGCTTGATACATGAGGAACATAAATAAAAACCATGTTTTCATTATTTGTATTTTTAATACATTTAGTCATGGAAAATGTTAAGATGATTGAAATTGTTATCCAAGATAATGTTTTCAGAAAACCTCATGAGGAAACAGATGTTTTTTAATTGAGTTGAGATTTATGAAACAAGGGTTTCTTCTGATTTGTCAACAAGTATTCATTAGCACATATAGCTTCTTGTCTCTATTTTCTTCTTGTTCCTCTCTAACTCTAACTATGAATGGAATGGTTTTCATTTTACACGAATGAAGAGACACAGCGGTCTCAAAAAGTTAGTTAAATTATTTTTTCTTCTTTGCTATGTGTTACGAAATAAACTATTTTTCAAAATAAAAACAAGACAATAATAGTGCCTTTGTACATGATTAAGACAAGCCACAGCAATCAAAGATTTTAATGAATTATGCAGCAGACACACCTATTCATTTTTATGAGCTTTCATGTCTTGCTGTGAATTTTTACCTTGAATAATGCCAAATATTATATTCATTCAACCCTGCCATCCAATAGTGGTCATTCAGTGGTTGACATATGTATGCATCTTGTTTAGTGGTGGAACTTCCTTTCTGTTGTACTCTTTCAAGGTTTTGACTTATCTTCTTTGTGGTGTCAAAATTTCTACTGTGGTGTTTAGGAATGAGCTTATTGAAGTTATGATCTGATATTCTGACCCCAAATCTCTTGAAACTACATTCTCCAAAATAGCAAACAAACTTTAGCAGTAGGGGACGAATGCATGGGGGTTGATTGGCAATTCAGGTCTGCATGGTAACCATTGAAAAAGAACACAAAGAAGTCATTTTCAAAACATTTTTAATAATATCAGTTACCTGCACTGACTTACAATATCATGACCAGCATGACATTCAGAAGTTTGACATGTTGATGTATTTCATATTTATTCTAGTATTCTTTGACAAAGGAATAATTCCATAAAAAATGCATCATTATGAATGGGTTTAACCCATGTATATTTTCATAAAATGTATTAAAACTCCAATGCTTCATATCCTATATCCTAACAAAAAAACTAGAAAATAATTTTGTAAATTATTATTTTCCTTTATCAAAGAACAACTTTTTTCTTGGAACTCACATTTTACTTAAAATAGCAAGCYGATGTAAATACTTATTTAGAAATAAGTCTTTATACATCTGAATGTCGAACATACCAAAATAGGTCTTCAGTAGCACAGGTAGACCTGCAAACCTGGTTACTAATATGTGAAAWATATATACATGAAATAGGACCAGCCTATTGTTATAATGTCCTATTAACTTATTAAATAGATTCATGTTTATCGTAAAGATGGGGCTAGCCCTCAATGTTGTATAATACATTTCATTTTGTCTCTTTTAAAGTTCACTTTATAGAATATAAAGTCTTTCAGTGCCAGCACTGCAAAAGTTTATAATATTTTTWAAATCCTATAGTGCCTGCACTTGGTTTTGTTTACTGTTCCAGCAGTATTTTCTTAAAACGAATTTACATTTGAAACTGGTATATGCATTTGTGGTGGAGTATTTACATTTGAAACTGGTATATGCATTGGTGGTGGCGTTGGTTGAGGGGACCTGCCCTGAAGTGAAGAGGTAATATCATTTTGTTGAGCTGCCAGAGCTTTTCTTGCTTCTTCTTCCTTCTTTGCTTGTTCTCTTAAATGAATTTTCATGTGGCGGCGGCGTTCATCAGAACGAGCAAATCGGCGTCCACATGTTTCACATGCAAAAGGCTTTTCTCCAGTGTGAGTGCGAATATGAGTTGTAAGGTGATCAGAGCGTGAAAAGTTCCTCATGCAGATGCGACACTGGAAAGGTTTTTGTCCTGTATGTGTACGCATATGCCTTGTTAACTCATCAGATCTTGAGAAGCGCCGAGGACATGTTTCAACTGGACAAGCATAAGGTCTTTCACTTGGTGGTGTTCGTGATCGTCCATCGATAGGGCTGCTGCGTTTAGCTTTCAGAGAAGAGCTAGCCTTTGCAGGACGACCCCTTTGTGGTGGTTTGGTGGCAGGAGGTATAACATAATCCATATTTCCATTACTTTGAAGTAACAGTTTGTCTAAAACTGAAGATTGATCATTTGGCATGAAATTTTGGAATGAACTTCCCACAATAGGCCATTTCATRTTTAAAGTGGCTGTTGCTTCCATAAACATTTGCCCAGCATTTGTGTTTTGTGGCTGAGAAGTACGTGGCATCATGTTAGCCTGAGACTTTCCAATCATGCTGTGCTCCATGTTGTCACCAAGCCCATGTTCTTGAGGTTCAGGCATTTGTGCCTGAGTGACAGGGATTTTGGCCTCTTGAAGAACATGTGGATTCCATGAACTTGCTGTTTGGCTGATAAGTGGAGTCAGGAAGGTGCGATCAGGGATCCACCAGTTGTGAGCAGGAGAACTGTAAGGAGAAGCTTGGCTAGTTGGAGGTGGTGTGGACACTGTTGGCATTGTTGTGAAGTCGTGCAAACTAGGTCCCTTGAAATGGGCTAATCTTTGTTGACATCCTTTCTGTTGTCCTCCTTCTTGTTTGATTTCGGGAACTGCTCCAAAATCAAGGTCTCCTGAGAAAATGAAAAAAACCTGGGTTAGTATTGAGAGTCTAGATCAAAATAGGAACCAAATCAAAGAGATCACCTGGCACTGTAAATTTATTTAGTTATTTGACAACGTTGAATTATGTTAGGAAAACGAATCACTGCAGGCTTGTCCGAAGTAATACCGAGGTTTACAAGAATCCGCTCGACATTTATTCGAACTTTTAATAGTAAGTTTATAATTTGATTAGAAGAAAACTCTTTTAGTTCTATTAAATTACTAGTAAATTACCTCGCAATGTGAAATGAAGTTCATAAGGCATACTGATTTCAAAGTAGGGTTTAAAATAGCTAGTGGTGTACTTAAGCTTCTTGATGTGAGTAAAGTTGAACAAGTACGTACTGTTTAAAGTATTTTTAAGGGTGGTACGGGAAAAGGAAGACTAGATAAGCATTCGTGAAATTTATAAAGTTAGACGTGATTTCTAATTTTACATGAACGTGAGATCAGACTCGGCCCACATTTGCCCCGTCCACGCGACAAAATCATGCTCGCTTCCGAAGTAAACAACTCGTGTTTATAGCCGAGAGTTAGAATTTTAGTTATTTCATGTACCTGTAACAGATGTGTCGTGGAAATCAATCGGCTCACCGAAGATATTAGTAGGTTCATCCATTCCGGTAACAAAGTCCTCGCTTCCTAATGGGACTTGTCGAGCCAACTGAGGAGTAAAGAAACTTGCAGTATCAAAGGCAAATAGTTGATCGGTAGCAACTTGAGCAAGACTATCCAGGGCTTCAGTCATAGTAATCATCATACAATCCTTATACGTATAGCGTGCCGATGGCTTGAAGTATTTGTAGAAATTGGTCGATAATGTTTTGTAGAGTGGAACTGATCAACAGTTATGGTAAGGTCGTGTTATTGCCCGCAATAACAACGACTATCTTGGATTTTTTTGGGTTAAACGGTGGACCCGAATTCTATAGACTCTTTTCGCTTCGTGTAACTCGACGATTTGTGTCGGAAAGGAGTGGGCGTCCTCCTTAAATGAAGATTCAGAGTTCGTAGCGTATTCGGCAATTGACGTATGACAAGCTTTGGCTATTCTTTCCAGCCAATCAGGAACGACATCGATGAGTCTAAATTTAGTTCGTGCGTCAATGTGACGTTCGCGGCATTGACGTCAGTAGAATTGTTGATCAATAGGTATCGTCAAAGGCTTTGATTGCCTTCGATTGGAAAAAACTTTGTTACATCCAGTCATGAATGTTTCAGGAATTTTCATGTCGTAATTTAATATTGTTCGAACGTGTGAGCTGTTCTCGAATTACCTGATTTTCGTTTGATGGCCGAATGGTAATTACGAACCGAACCCGAGAGCCGACCGAGAACGCTTCGGTTTCTTTCACGAAAATTTACATCTACGTCACTGTATTTGAATATCAGTAGTTATAGAGACAAAGCTATTGCTGGAATATGTTTGTTTCCTTGGACGTTCTTTCTAGAATACTAGGCGTCACTCGGCGACTCCAAGTAAAGAAAGCTCTGGCGGGAATCCGGTCTGATACCAACGAATAACTTGTTATCATTTACTTTTCGAATAAGCTTTGTATTTCATACAAAAATATAAATATAAGTAGGTAAATATCGCTCAAATATAACTCAACAAACATCTCATGATTAATTTTTCATATAATGGGAGAAATTTTGAAGTCCAATTTGAAATTCAAATTTTAAGCCATATCTCAGAGTTTATTTCAATACTGAAGAAAAATATAGAGATAATATACAACCTGACCAATGCCTGATATTTCCCTATCATTCATAATTCATAACTATCTACAAATCTCTTATATTGTGACAATGTTGAATATTTTTAATTTATCGCTCCTGACTATATTTTCCTATTTCAAACGGATTAATTAATCTAGCCACTTTTTTGAGAAAGCTCGAGAGGGCCAAAAATATAACTTTTTCTATAAATAAATTTTCAGAGATAGTACAATCAGTTTCGTGGGTGTCATCGATTAAGCCAGATTAAGTTTTTTTCGAGAACAAACAATACAGAGAACAGGTGCATGCAGTTTTTGGAAAGCAATTTAAATTTCAGACTAAAAATAAACCGTATGACGTCGGATGACATCAGCCCTACTGGCGATCTCCAAGTCATGAATACAGGTGCAGAATAAATTTAGTACTTTTGCTGACGACTAACACTAATTTGTCTCGCGAAAATATTTTGAGAGCCGAATGTAATTCTAATTATAGAGAATATCTTTGGTTAGCAGCAGGCTATATCGTGATGCAAACAAGAAAAATAAGTGAATGACCACTTCACGTCGCTCGCAGCGAAGCGCTTTTAGAGTTGCCGCAAATGATATGTTTTTAAAGAGTTTTCTTAGCTAAATATTGAACCAAAAAGAGGAAAAACGACTGGTGTCCGGTGAAATCCATCGAAGATAGTCGATAAAAAAAGGTCGCTTATCTAACTCAAAACCTGTGCTTTCGTCTCAATAGACGACTAAGAAGTTTCCTCAGCTTCTGTAGCAAGCGAGGATGTGAGACAGGTAATCTAGATAGATCAATTTATGGAATTAAAATTCAGTCTGAAAATATTTGTCGTTTCAACCATTTTTATATGTGCTAGTTTCACCGCTAAAGAGGCCCCTCTATTTTCGTACATGTTCGTACAATTTACTCAATATTTTTTTTTGTTTTCGTATATATGTACGACGTAAGGTGGTGATTCAATTTAAATTATATTTAGAATCCAAATTATGATGCTCTTCCATGATGCATTCTATACTGAATTAACTCTAGTTATCTTTTGAAAGCGCYTTGCGCGTTCAGGAAATAATCATTTTATCAGTTAAGATCTTATTTTCTCATAACGCAAAAGTAGTTTTGCAAGAAATGTGAGGTTATCGCATTCGTTTTAGTGCTTTTAAGCGCATCGCTTCGTGTTTTAACCGCATTTTTTAACGACATATAAATTAGAATTCACAACTATGAGAAAACGCTTACGTCGATCGTTGGAGAGCTCTCGATTGGAGATAACGGACCGACATTATCCTAAACCGATCAAAAAGCTAAGCGGAGATCCTTCAATGAAAAAAATAACGTGTTTGAAGAACATATGACTTTATAATTTCTCGGTACCATTGGTAGGAGTCAGGCTTGCTATAGTATGCTAAAGACAATAAATTCGAATTAGAAACTCAATATTAGTCATCTTTTCAATGAGGAAAATACACCTAAACTGAACATTGGCCATCCTTTTTCCGACTATGTAAACGTTCAAAACTCTGTCTCTTAAGTTTCGTGCGAACCAAATGTAAATTACCTATTTTCCTTTCTTTTTTTTTTTTTTTTCAAATATATTCAATCATAAATAATTTACTAGGAAATGGACAGCTAGCTATCCAATAAACGAAAATGAAAATAATGAAATTCAAAATATCTTACCAATTGTTTCAATGCAAAGAACAATATCTTCAAAAAAAAACTTGTTTAAATTTCAATATTTTAAATTATTTTTTAGCTATTTTTTATTATATTTCATTATATTTCTTTTTTATTATTTTATGAACTGGTTTGTCGTGTATTTTATTGTTTTTCAGATAGTTGTCATTAAGTGGTGAAGAACAAAAATATTCTATTTTAGGAATAGTCGGCTATAAATAGCATGATATAGATAGATACTTAAAAACCTAAATTAGACTTTAGACATCAGAATAGGTGACGGCGGTATTATCTCATTAGCACATTAAAACGTTGTCTCAAAAGCTCTCACAAATGCATTCAGTGGGAAGTAAGTTTATGTGGATAAATTGGGGTAATTTTTTTTTAGAAAATTGTCATTTTAATCCCTGTTCAGGTTAGGTTGATGCAATTGCTGGGCTTTTGAATGGTTTTTTTTAATGACCACATTTGTTGTCTTGGTAATCAACTAGACCCTGAAGACTCCTGAAAACTAGGACTGAAGGTGTGAGTGTCAGAGTGAACCGCGGTCATTATCGTTGTATTGTAGAGTA